ACTGGACTCACATTACCACTTCCCAATATGAGCACATTTAATTGTTCAGAATAGAACCTATCCTATCCAGCAAGTACTGGATTCTACACCATGTGTTCTTCTGAAAATTCTAGCAAAAGCTCTTCCTTTCTAGCTGGTGTTTTTCACTCCAGTCGTTAATGGTCTGGGAAAGTATGAAAAAATGAAACTGGATCTCCCTGATGGCTCCTCCTGTGTGAATTATAAAAGGAATAGCGTACCTGTCACTCTAGCTTTCATTTACAACTTATCAAATTTTAAGGCGGAAAATTTCAGAACTCGAGAATCTTAGAGCTGAAGTCACTTGCTCAATATTTAAGACTAAGATCCAAACCCATGGTTATATAGTGATCTACGGAGGAGCTAGGACTAGAGCCTAAACCCCAGCTCCCAGGTCAAGGCTCTTTCCACTAACTGTGTCCTGGTACTAATACTACTCACACTGACCTAAGCACTGGGTACTTGCACTAAGACTACTCGTACTGACACTCAAGTCTATATAAACTAGCCGTCTAGAACACTCATATGTGTAAAATGTAAAGAGTGAGGAGGATACTGAAATGACTTCCCTCTTCTAGTCCAGAGAGAAGCATCCAGGCTGGGGGATGATGCAGAGTTGGGAGAGCTGTGCTAAAGTGATGAAAGAAGATGAATGAGGTAAGTTCCATAGAGAAAAGCAGAACAGAGGAGGAAGAGAAATTGGAAGCTATGCAGGACAGGAAAGGAGATAACAAAAGTTGAGGTGTCAGCAGTCTCTAAAGGCGATTCTTCTTTCTCCAGGGCTAAAAACATTTTAACTCTCTAAATCCAAGCCTATTCTTCACAGTCACCAGGTGTCTACCTGAACATGAAAGCAGACCAAGTAATGATCACTCCCTGATACCTCCCTTCCCACTGCAGGCTGGGCTGGGGCTGCTTCAAGGCACTCCATCGTGCAGATCTTTATCATTGCTTTTGCACAATGCTACTCCATAACTGGTGTCTCCACCACCAGACTGAGTGCCTTAAAGGCAAGAGCTGTGACTTACTCATCTTATTAACCCCAGCACAATGCCTGGGACATAGGAGCAACTCACTCACTGACTATTCATGAACAAATGTCTTAACTCAGCTATCACCTTTCCTGAGAATTTGTTTCAGAGCTGCTGCACCACTCCTGGGTTGGATTGTGTGTGCTTCCTCCATGCTCTCACAGCAGGGGTGTGGCTCTCATCAAAGGACCATTAACCACCCTAACAAAATGACTGGAAAACTTGGCTTTTGGTTTTTGTTTTGAGACAGGGTCTTACTCTGTCACCCAGGCTGGAGTACAGTGGCACAGTCTCAGCTCACTGTAGCCTCTATTTCCTGGGCTCAAGCAGTCCTCCCACTCAGTCCTCCCCCTGGGTAGGTGGGATTCCCCCTGGGTAGCTGGGACTACAGGCACAAGCCACTGTTCCTGGTTAATTTTTTTTGTATTTTTTGTAGAGATGAGGTTTCACCATGTTTCCCAGGCTGGTCTTAAACTCCTGGGCTCAAGAGGTCCACCTGCTTCAGCTTCCCAAAGCTCTGGGATCACAGGCATGAACAACTGCGCCTGGCTGAAAACTTATTTGAATCACTGACTAGATTGGCAACACTTTGAGGACAAGGATGATGTCTTTTAGTGCCTTATTCTCAGCACTTATAATACTCAGAAACAAAAAAAAATTTAATATGTGCTTGTAGAATAGACAAATAAGTGAAACCGAAAGAAATGCTAATCCAGAGCTGGGCATGGTGGCTCACACCTGTAATCCCAGTACTCTGGAAAGCCAAAGTGGGCATATCACCTGGGGTCGGGAGTTTGAGACCCACTTGGCCAACATGGTAACCCCAATCTCTACTAAAAATACAAAAATTAGCCAGGCGTAGTGGTGCATGCCTGTAATCCCAGCTACTTGGGAGGCGGAGGCACAAGAATTGCTCGAACCCGAAAGGCAGAGGTTGCAGTGAGCTGAGATGGTGCCACTGCACTCTGGCCTGGGTGATAGAGTGAGACTCTGTCTCAGAAAAAGAAAAAAGAAAAGAAAAGGAAAAAAAAGAAATGCAAATCCATCACATACAATCCTTATCACAGATAGCAAAGGAGCCTCCAGGAAAACATATCACTTGCTCCGGGAGTGGGTTCCCAGAGTGCCGACACAGCTCCAGCGTTTCTCACAGCCTCTGCTGCCAGGAAAGGATGAAACACCACCCATATTCAGGAACAAAGACAGAGTGAACCCTCCTTCAAGTCTTATTGCTAGATGGCACCTGTTGCTAAAATAGCAGCTGGTAAGCATTTTGTTTTGTTCAAAACAACAACAACAACAACAACAACAACAGCAACAATAACAAAACCAATGTATTATGGGAAGCAACATCACAATGGCAGTAAGAAACCATGAGGCTAAATATATAACAGGAAGAAATATGGAATTTTAGTAATGAAAGACAAGGAAGGAGCTGCTAGAGCCTGGAGGAAAAAAACCCTGAAGTGTTGATTAGAAATTGCTCAGCCTGCATTAAAAAAGAGAAACAGGAGGAGAGGGGAGGGGAGGAGAAATAGAGAGGGAGGGGAGAGAGATGGTAGGGAGAGAAAGGGAGGGAGAAGGAGAATAAATGTGGATTTTTTTTTTCCTGGTTCTCTGTCTCATTTTTTAATCTGTCCTTCCCTGTCTCCCTTCCTTTCTACCACCCCCTCAAGAGAGAATTCATTGATTGGGCTGGACTAAAATTTCTCACCTTTTCCTCGCATGGTTCTCTGTGAAGAATGAGTCTGAATTCATCTCCTCCTTGTCTGCTTCTGTCTCCTCCCTCCCCTCCCCAGCCGCCATTGTTTGCTCCTCTACTTGCTCAGGCTGAGAGGCAGCTTGTCTGTCCACACCTCTGACAGCAGTGACAGGATGAGGGGAAAGCAGGAGCTGCGAGCAGAGGATGATCAATGGGATCCCAGGAGTCAGTCTCACTTTCAGAGCGAAGAATCCCCAGCCATCTGACAGCTGAGCTGGCCCTGATAACTAACCTGTTGCCTGATTCCAAGCAGAACAGCCTCTCCAGGTGCAGGTGGCAGAAGGCACAAAGCATCACCTCCCACAAAACAAAAATAAAACACAAAGCCCTCCAGCAAAAAGCCCAGAGGGGCAGCTTGGGAGAGGGCGAATGAGACTGGCCTGGGGTTTGGGAGAACTGGGATCTAGTCCCAAATCAGTCATGACCGTGCTATGTGCATATTGCCTCTCTAGGACTCCATCTCTGTAAACTGAGATCGCTGAACTACAGTTCCTGTGGTCCCCTCCAGTAACGTGATTCCGTTTCATAAAAAGCTGTGAGCCATCTAAAGAGAGCTGTTTCCCTTCTTCTCTCACTCCCTGCAAACCCCCAGAGTACTTATTTTACGCAGACCCCAAGGTGTCTGTAAGAGCACCTCTAACTCAGGGACCCCTCCCCAGATGTCTGGCTGACTTCAGGGAGGTGCTGATACAGGCTCAAGGACTAAGTGCCCGAGAATAGAGGCAGGTTAAGGATGTGAAGAATCAGGGAGGGTGGGAGTGGAAGGCACTCGGAGGCCAGGGGAGCTGGGAGGCATGGATCAGCCAAACCCTGAAATTAGAGATGATTCATATTTGAATAATGTGGGAGGGATGAACTCAAAGCAGCCAAAAGAAGAGGCTAACTCTGCTGAGGGTGCCTCCCCCAGCCTAAACCCAGCAATAGGGCAAGAGCAATATTAGGGGCATTTCATTTGAAATGGGAAAAATATTTAGGCAATCAAGAATCTTATTCTGAAGCTAAGGGAAATGGGGTATTTGCCTTTTTTTGCTAAATGTATTTTACCCTCTTTCCATGACTTGTTTTAGCTATTTTAAGCTTGTTCCCCTTTGCCTAGTGCCTTGATTTTGTCCAGATCATCTGGTTGGTGACCCTAGAGGAGACAAACTTCTCATGTGGTGCTATTTTCCCTTTTCTCTCCTGCCTTCCACTCCATCCCATCCTCACCCTTCTGACCCCTTGTTCCATTTCTTCCATCATTCTGCCTCCACCTTAATTTGAATGGTTGCCTCTGACCCAGTCCAAGCTATCCAGACCTTCCTCACTCCCATCCCACTCCCTTCAGCAGGGCTGCTTTGAGAATCTCTCAGGGCGGCCACCCCAAGGCCCCACATTCCTTAACCACAGGGAATCGGAGTCCTCTTGTGGGGAAATGGGTTAAGAACAAGAGCATCTCCTGACCCCAGAAGAATGGGAAGAAAGTTCACCAAATAGGAGGGAGGACACAGAAGACCCAGCTAGACCAGTGATTCTGGTGCTGGGGAGAAGCCCAATGCCTCTCAATCTCTCTGCAAATTATCTTTTAGGTAGTGAGAAGTGCACCTATTAGAAAGGCTCTTCTGCTTTCTAATTATCATTTGGGACCACTCCCCAGATACCAAGTGAGAGAGAACAGGCCCTGAAGTCCATAACCAGTTAAGGTTCTATCCCCATCTCCTTCCCCACCTCCAGTTCCTTGCACCCTCCAGAGAGCCACAGAGAGAATGCCCCGGATCTCCCACCTTCTCTAGGGAAGAAATTAAGGAGACAGTCCTCCAGCCTCCACCTCCAGAAAACCAGTTCACTTAATTCATCAGCTCCCTCTGAGCTTCTTTTATTCCAGCCAGGCTTTTCCCAGGGCTCACAGCATTACAACTCAGGATAAGACCGAAGAACCTTTTCATGAGGGGGAAATGCACATTCGAAAGAACAACCTCAGCGCCAATGAGTCAAACACCTGCATCTAGATGCGTCTCACTTGTCATTGGGCTTCTCCCCTGCCGCCCCCATCATTCACACACACACACACACACAGCCCCCTCCCCCACTTTCCACCAGACTGATAAGCAGCTTTAAACACGGTCAGTAGGGAGGAAAATGGGGGTGGGGTGAGAACAGAACCACGACAGGCATATACAAAGTTCTTGGTTTCTGTAGAAAAGGACTCTTACCTGTTAGCCAGAAAAGAGCAATCCACCTCAGCAAGACCCTGTCCATCTTCCCCAACTTCCCATCCGGATTACGGAGTGAGGAAAGTGGGAAACGGCTGGAACAGAAGGATGGCTGTCACCCCGCGGCAGCGCAGCGGCGGGCACCGGGCGTCCCTGGGCGCAGCGCCCGCCGGGCCGGGCGCGCAGGCGGGGCCGGGGGTTGGATCGCGCCGCCGGCGGAGCGCGCGCTGCCGCGGGCTTCCGGGAACCGCGCTGCGCTCGGCGGCGCCTCCGCACGCCCAGGCAGCGCGGCGCGGGGCGAGCGTCTCTCCGCCGCAGAGCCCGCCGCGCGGGGGAGCTCGGCCGCCGCGCCGCCTCCCGCGCCTCCGCCCCGTCGCCCGCTGCCCCGGCTGCCAAAGTTTCTCGGTCACGTGCCAGCCCCCGGCGTCCCGGAGGGCAGCGCGGAGTGACCGAGGCCACGCGGGGAGAGGGGGCCGCAGGGGGGCAGCCGGCGAGAGGCGCGGGAGGGGCCGCCCCGCGGGCCGCGCTGAGCGGGGAGCGACCATCGCGGCTTCTCCCAGGGACGCCCGCGCTCGGGAACCCCGGCGAGAACGCGGGTTGGGGACTCGAACAAGGGGTGCCTGTGTCTGCGGGCCGCCACAGCAACCTGAACCGAGAGAGAGCGACAGCGGCGAGGGTGGGGGACGGCGGGGACTTGGCATTAACTTCTTACGGGACTTAACTAGCAGGTACTCTAGGCTAGACCGTTCGCTTCTGCGGGACCCCCGCCCCTCCGTCTGGTTTCCTTTTCGACAGTGCAGGGAGCCAGGCAGGAGTCTCCGCAGAATTGGAAAAGGTAGGCGGGACTCTCACGTCATTACTTTTTCCTGTTAAAATATGAGGTAGAATAAGGGCATTCAGCCCTTTAACAGAAAATATGTAAAACCAGAATGAGATAAATAATGATGACAGCTTAATTCCATCCAACACTTTATAGTTGGCAGCACGCATTCACATGGATTATTCCTAATTTTCAGACGGATTTGTCTTAGGTCTCAAAATGTATGTGTTGAGAGACAACTGAGAAATGTATGATTTGCTTAAGAAATATATGTGAAGCCTCTACTAGGTGCTAAGAACCAAGGCTACGAAGTGGAATGAGATAGACTTCCTGTCCTTAGGAGTCTCATCTTAGGTCCAGGAAAGGGAGGAAGGTCAGACCGTTGAAGACATGATACTTATTGGTAGTAAAACGGGGCAAGGGCAATAATGGAGACATAGAGAAAGTGCCTTGGGAACATAGAGGAAGGAGTTAGTCGTGGGTGGGGAGGGGGCACCACGATAAAGTAGAGGTAACATCTAAGTTGGCATTTGCAGAAAGGGCAAGATTTTCGCGGTTCAAGGGTCCCTGGTGGAAAGGGAGCAGACGGGGGCATTCTGGGCAAAGAGACAAAGCAGAAAGGTCTCAAGTGGCATCTGAAAACAGAGTAATGCCAGGCTGGAGGGTAGTTCCTGGAACAGACAAGACTACACCTAAGAGTGAATGTGTATGCAGACAGGGAGGATATGTGAACATGTGAGAAATGGTAAGAGTAGACCCTGGACAGCTGTCTTTTATGGCTGCTTGACATTTGAATTCCCTTCTTATTTTGAAAAATTCCAACTGCAGAAGCCAGAAAGTCTAGAGCCACCTCCCTGACCATCCCAGCTGGAGTGCAGACCCGGGCCTCTGGCATGGCCAGGCTGACCTCTCCCTCAGAGCTTTTTTATTATGGAGCAAGTGGTGGACATAAGGAATAAGGACAGTGGAGAAGTGATTTTGTCACCCAGGCAGCAGCACCATCCAGTGTACACAATCAGCTGTGGCAGAGGTTAAGCCACCAGGATGCTCCAAGGTGTGATTTTGACTGTGGTCTTGTAGGCTCTCATTCCAGCCCCTCTTCTACACTTGGCTCTTTGCCTTCCTGACAATTCTTTGAACCACCCAATATCCTTTCATAAACTCTTTATTTTGGCCAGGATGATGTTTTGTGCTATGTACTGCATGAGAGAAATTTGAGGACTATTTCCTTTCATATACAGAAGAATAAAAAAACATAGGAGGCACCTAACATTTGTGGGTTTCCTATTAAGTTCTAGGCAAAGATCCACATGTTTTACAAGCCTTCTCATATAACCCTAAAGAGGGAACTTAGGCCCAGAGCATTTAACTAGCTTCTCTAAGATCAGGTAGCTAGTAAGTGGCAGAGCCAGGATTTGAATCTGACTCTAAAGCATATGCTTTCTGCACCATAAAAAGAACACATGGTGCATGGGCCGGGTGTGGTGGCTCACACCTGTAATCCCAGCACTTTGGGAGGCCAGGCGGGTGGATCACCTGAGATCAGGATTTCAAGACCAGCCTGGCCAACATCGTGAAACCCCTTCTCTACTAAAAGCACAAAAATTAGCTGGGTGTGCTGGCATGCACTTGTAATCCCAGCTACTCAGGAGGCTGAGTCAGGAGAATCACTTGAATCCAGGAGGTGTAAGTTGCAGTGAGCTGAGATTGTGCCACTACACTCCAGCCTGGCAAAAGAACGAGACTCTGTCTCAAAAAAAAAAGGAAAAGAAAAAGAACATCTACACCAGAAAGTTGAGGATGATGATATGTTTGTATTATGCTCTGCCATTTATTGCATGTACGTGTGTGTGCCACACACAGTGCACAAAACAGCTTGAATAGTGTTTATTATCTAAGCATACATAACAAAGGTATTTTAGCCAGGTGCAGTGGCTCACACCTGTAACCTCAGCACTTTGGGAGGCTGAGGTGGGTGGATCGTTTGAGCTGAGGAATTTGACCAGCCTAAGTAACATGGTGAAACCCAATCTTTACAAAAATACAAAAATTAGCCAGATGTGGTTGTGTATTCCTGTAGTCTTAGCTACTCAGGAGGCTGAGGTGAGAGGATCACTTGAATCTGGGAGGTTGAGGCCTCAGTGAGCTGTGACCACATTACTGGACTCCAGCCTGGGTGACAGAGTGACACCTTGTCTCAAAACAAATGGCATTTTATGCAAAACTTGGACATACAAGCAAGTTTATACATGTGAAAGATCGGAGATGAACTGAGTGAAGGGAGCCTGGATGTGTATATGAAGTGGAACGTGAATGCCCCCAGAGGTGAACTCACGTCTGCTCAGAGGAGGTGTCTTTGTGTAGTTGAACAAGGAATCAGGAGACTTGCAGAGTTTGTGCCACAATGAATCACAGAATGCAGGTGCCTTGTTCATCATCCCAGAAATGTGTTTTCCATGTAGTACCCTGCATGTCTGCTTTATAGCCAGAGAGGTACACATGGTGAATCCCGAATCTTCCTGATGAGTGGAGCCCAGGCTATCCTGAATGGGATGCTAAACTGGAGTGAATCGCAGTGTGTGCCCCTCCATCACCTTGCACATGTTATTACCAAGGTGATGAAGGGTTAATATAAATTTTTGAAGTACACCGATTGATTCAAAACATGTAGCCTAAGGGATGGAGGTGGAAAGAGGATGGGAAAATGGTATTATTTTGCCACATTGGTGGTGGGTAATGGGATATGGCACCCAGAGTCCCAGTGTGGTTTCTGAACTTCCAGTATCAGAATCGTCAGATCACAGAATCTGTGTTTGCTTAAACAGACTCCCAGGCTCTACTAAAAATAATCAGATCAGAAACTCCAGGTGGAGCCCATAAATCTGCAGTTTAACCACCTTCTCCAGGTGCTTCTGATGCACATTAATGTTTAAGAAGCAATACCTAACTATATTTTTGTTCTGGGAAGCTGTTCAGCTGATGTTTTCTAATGAGCCTTGGATCTAGTTAAGCTCCAGTTGTCTATTTGTTCTGGCCTAACAGGACAGGAGCCCAAATAGAGAGATTGATTCATCACAGCCAAGGAGGGGGTCTGGATCTGCAATACTTCAGACTTTCTTTTCTTTCTTTTTTTTTTTTTTTTTTTGAGACGGAGTTTCGCTCTTGTTACCCAGGCTGGAGTGCAATGGCGCGATCTCGGCTCACCGCAACCTCCGCCTCCTGGGTTCAGGCAATTCTCCTGCCTCAGCCTCCTGAGTAGCTGTAATTACAGGCACGCACCACCATGCCCAGCTAATTTTTTTGTAGTTTTAGTAGAGACGGGGTTTCACCATGTTGACCAGGATGGTCTCGATCTCTTGACCTCGTGATCCACCCGCCTCGGCCTCCCAGAGTGCTGGGATTACAGGCTTGAGCCACCGCGCCCGGCCTTACTTCAAACTTTCTACTGCAACAAGACAAATGTGTCAGAACAAGGACCTGTGTGGAACCAGAACAAGATTCCCAGGAAGCCACAGCTGAGATTGTATGTGTGTGGTGGAGGGGACTAACAGGCTGCTTCAGCAAAGTTCTAATCTTTAGAACAGAATTAGGACACAGAAAAGAGAAGTGAACCACTGCAAGGAGACATGCTGGTAGCTGGTAGCAACCACATAGTTATAAATATAATGTAGCTGAATCGTCTTTAAAACATGATTTCATTGCAGACACACAGGCATGCATGCACATGAATACTGCCTAACCTAAGTCTGTTTAAAGCACACAGATGAAATCATATTTATTCTTCTCTGATCCTGCATTTCAAGAGGAATATATAAAGTATGACTCTGAAGCGGATACCATTTTTCTCATGTAAGTTTGGTCCATCTATTTTTTCTCTTCCTACGTTTTAGGTTTGTTATCTTTCCCATTCTCCATACCTTCAAAACCACCCTCAATGAGTTGTAAGTTAACCTAAATTAAACCAAGGAACTAAAAAAAAACCTGAAGACTCTAGGAACCCTATACTGACTACTGGAAACATTTTCAATCTTGAAGTCCTTTCATGTTGAGGAATAAGTTGTTTCATTAAGAAGATGCTTTAAAGAAAAGAAATGCAAATAAACAGATGCATTATGCCAAAAAGAAAGAAAGAAAGAAAAAATGAAATCTGAACTGCCAAGAACAGTGGAAAGTATATAATAAGTAAAAGTCTGGGCGAATGTGTTGAAAATTCCATGTACTTCCAGCAGATCAATCTAGTCTTGGACTGGTGGTGCTGGATGCTGAATTAGGTGATGTTTTGTGTGCCCCTTCCTAAGGCTAGATCCTGCTCAACAGTGGGGCAGAACTTTCCTGAATTAGCTCTCTACCAATGTTTTCCCTAGACAGGTCCATTCAAGGATAATGTGCAGAAAAAAAGAACATAAAGGTATATTTAAGCTTGGTATCAAATATGAAAAAATACGTTTAAAAGGGACAAAGAAGACAACAAATCGGTAACAATGATTATCTCTGGGAAGATCATCATTCATTTTTTTCTTTATAATTTTCTTTCTTTCTTTTAGACACAGGGTCTGACTCTCTCACTCAGACTAGACTGAGTGGTGCCATCATAGCTCACTGCAACCTTGAACTCCTAGCTCAGTGCTGTCCTCCTCCCTCAGCTTCCCAAGTAGCTGGGACTGCAAGTGCACACCACCATGCCCAGCGAATTTTAATTTTTTTTTTTTTTTGAGAGACTGCATCTTGCTATGTTGCCCAGTTTGGTCTCAAACTCCTGGGCTCAAGTGATCCTCCCACCTCAGCCTCCCAAAGTGCTGGGATTACAAGTGTGACCCATTGTGCCCAGCCTATAACTTTCTATACCCTGTAATATTTCTATAATATAGGAAAAGGTGCTGGACAAAAGCTGTGCCCATGCCAAAATTCACTCATTGTCAATTTGTTCTCCAGTCTCTAGGATATCCCTGGAGAAAGGAAAGAAGCAAGAAGGAGTGACAGGTGTTTTGTCGGGTCTGTATCTTTAGCCAGATACAAAGCCCCCAAATGTACACCTGCTCTCATTATGTCACAATCGTGAGCAGTTAATCAAGTTAATTATAAGCAGTTGAGCCTTGGGAGCTTTTACTGACTGACAGTTCAACCTGTAATTTCTTTGTAAGTTACACAGCCAGAGATGAAGGTCAATGCTCTTTTAGGAGCCCTGCCTCCAGTTTTTGCTTTTGTTTCTGTTTTTATTTCATTGTTAGCATCCTTTGGAGACCAGAACAGCATTGACAGCCCGCAAGATGAGCAGCAGAGCAATTCTTCTTCCAGTGGTCAAGCAGCCCCCTACAGCCCAAAGGCTATAGGAAGAAAGGGGAACTGGCTGCCTATAGATTATAAGATGAAGCTGCCTTAGGCTCTGAGTCTTGGTAATTTAGCCAGATGATTGTTTCTCAGAGCCCAGCCCTATGCATTCTCCTCGAGGCCTTAGTCCCTGGCAAAGGTCAAAAACAGAACCCGAGAGAGGGAAATGAGCCAGAACAAATATGTCATCTGATGACCTCACCCCCAGAAAATAGGCAGGGAAGAGAGCTACAATAAGAAGGCCAGAAGATTGAGTACCATGAAAATAATAGCTCAAGCAAGAGAAGGGCATGTGGGCTTTAAAGACCAGGGTTAGAAAACAGCAACCTTAATTTGTGTGTTGAAGTAGCAGGGTGAGGATCTCTCCTAGAAATGTTAATTCTGTATCCCTTCCCCAATTCTGAGTAGGTACCTTATACATACAGATGATCATTATGTACTTGTCTAATTAATTACAAACTGCCCCTAGTGTATTCATCTTCCCTCTTCCTCATCGCCTCTCCTTTTCTCTTCCCTGAATTCATTCATTTATTCCACACACATTTATTGAATGCTTACTATATTCTAGACACTATGCTATCTAGAAATTAAAAGTGAATACGAATTCAAAGATGAATGAGTCACAGTCCCTTATGTCAAAGAGCTTACATTTGAGTTGTCACCATGTGTGTAGAGAAGGAGGGAAGGAGGCAAATATGTGGTCTTTAAGTATGATAGTATGAGTGCTTGTGTTAGGACATGTACCAGTTTGGTAGGAAAATTAAGTGGGGGACCAATTATTTATCAGTAATGCTGGTCAGAGATATCTTCATTAACAGGTGACCCCAGAGCTAAGCTTTAAACATCATCTGGACAGAATTTCTAGCGGCAGAGAGTGAGCAGAAGGTAGTACAGATGCACAAGCAACAGGCAGAGGTGAGAATAGGAACTTCTACACAGAGCATGGATTTACAAAAGGCACAATCAGCAATAAGGCTGGAAAGCTAGGCTGAGGTTCAACAGGGGAAACCAGGCTACCAGATCTGGATGTAATTCTACAGGCAATGTACCATCCATGCGAATTTCTAAGTAGAACAAGATCAGACCTGTGTCTCGGCAAAGGTATTGTGGCCACAGGGTGTAGGATGAATTGACGGAGAGAGAGAGAGGTCTCTTCCGTGGGAGAGCTCATTACAAGATCCCAAGAAGTAACAAGCACCTAACAAGGGGCAGCACAAAGAAAACGAAAACATCAATTGAGAGAGACATTACAAGGAGTCACAAGAGGTAGAATTCACATGTATACTGCAAGCAGGAGGAATCAACCAGACATCAGTATAAGTCACTAAAGAATCTGAGAGAACATTCAGACAATGTCTAGATGGTACTCAGAAATTTCTGTCTTAACTTTGGCAAAGCATCAGGTAATAAACAACCTTGAAGATCTAAGATAAACAGATTGGAATGAGTGTTAAGCAGGGATCTCACAGATGTCAGAGTCACTCAAAGGCTGTGTGGCATGAGGAAGTCACTTCACCACTCTAAGCCTCAATTTCCTTTCCTGCAATATGGGGATAATCATGGAATCTGTTTCATAGGGTTGTTGTGAAAGGGAGATGAGATAACCCTTGTGGAGTGTTTAGCAGAGAGCTGGATGTAGCTTGCAATGAATATCACCTATTATTACTACTATTATTATTATTAGCACAGGAAGGAAGATGCACACTGAATAGTGTTGGGCCTTCACTTAAACTACCATCAGGAAAAACTCAGCCACATTTTCCAAGAACACTTGTGGTGCTCTTCAGTGGTTTGCGTAAGACTTACTTGGCTGATAATCACACCTCATACTTCATTTTAAAAAAAGAAATAATAGTCACCCAAACCTCCAATAGTTTTCCTCCATTTAGACAAAAATCTAAAGTCTTTATGGCGGCCTTGTAAATCCTATATGATCTGGCCCTAACTCACGCTCTAATATTCTCTCTACTTTCCACCTCACTCACTTTACTTCAGCTACATGACTGATTTTGCTGTTCCTCAAACATATCTGATGTGCTCCCACCTCAGAGCCTTTGCACTTGTTATTCTTTCTGCCTGGAATGCTCTTCCCCAGATATCTTGATGGTTTGCTTGCTCATTTCTTTCCAGTCTTTGCTTAAATTTCATTTCCTTATATAGGACCTTTACTAACTACCCTAAAAATTTACCCTCTATTTGCTGCTATTCCCATATCTTGCATTGTTTTTCTTCATTGGACTTATTGTCCAATAAGATATCTGACATCTTGTTATATACGTAATAGCTTATTTATCTATTGCCTTTTTTTTCTATTATAAGCTTTGTTCTATTCAATCCATTCTTGTGCTTAAAATAGACTGGTATTCAGTAGGTTCTTAATAAATATCTATTGAATAAATGAACCACTCGCTACTGAAATCATTCCGCTCTCCTGGTTTTTCTGCCTTTCTTCCTACTTTTTCACATGTTCTTCTCAGTCATCTTTACTGGATCTTCCTTCTCTGGCTTGTAAATGCTAGAGTTCCTCAGGACTCCATCCTGGATCCTTTTTCCTCTCTTTCTTCACTCTCTTCTTAGTGATTTCATCTAGTTCATGAATTTAAATACCATCTTTATGTGGCTTACTTGTGAATTCTTTCTCAAGCCGAGAACTCCAGACTTATACATGGTCAGTTGCTTACTTGACATCTCTACTTGAATATATAGTAGGCATCTCAAAATGAACATGTCCGTAATAGAACTCTTCATCCACCCCCTTCACATACTTCAACCCAAACCTGCCACCCTTTAGAATTTCTGAATAGAAAAAAATCAGTCTAGTTGGAAAGTGGAGAAAGCCGTTCTGTTTATATAGGACTTAAGTAAAATGGGGAAAAAATCAGTTTCATCAGACCAGGCACAGTGGCTCATGCCTATGATCCCAGCACTCTGGGAGGCTGAGGTGGGTGGATCACAAAGTCAGGAGTTTGAGACCAGGCTAACCAACATGGTGAAACCCAGTCTCTACTGAAAATACAAAAATTAGCCAGATGTGGTAGTGTGCATCTGTAATCCTAGCTCCTTGGGAGGCTGAGGCAGGAGAATCACTTGAACCTGGGAGACAGAGGTTGCAGTGAGGTGAGATTACGCCATTGCACTCCAGCCTGGGCGACAGAGCAAGACTCTGACTCAAAAAAAAAAAAAAAAAAAAAAAAAAAGAAAAAAAATCAATTTTATCAAAGAAGGAGAGGAGTAGTGGCTCACACCTGTAATCCCAGCACTTTGGGAGGCTGAGACAGGCAGATCACTTGAGCCCAGAAGTTTGCAACCAGACTGGGCAACATGGTGAAACCCAGTTTTTACAAAAATTAGCTGGGCATGGTGGCACACACCTGTAGTCCCAGCTACTTGAGAGACTGAGGTGGGAGGATCACTTGAGCCCACAGGACTGAGGCTGCAGTTAGTTGTGATTATGCCACTGCACTCCAGCCTTGATGAC